GCCTCTTGTCTTCCTTCCTTCCTCCCACTTGATATGAAGATAATGGAATAAAAGGCTCCTGGCTATGGCTTGGTGGCTTTTCTGGACCACAGCCCATCACCTTGGGGAGGCTGCTTTGAGCYTGTGCTGCTCCAGCCTTGCATTTCCATGCGCTGCTGGCTCACGTGYGTGCTCCGGGCAGGGCTGGTCCTGCAGGCTTGCTTGGGGTCAGTTTGGCAACACAAGTRGCAGAAATTCCCAACTTCCCAGGAGAGCTGCTGGTTTGGGAATATGGCTGTCCTGGGGTCAGGGCCTTGGGCAGTGCTCYGGGGTGATGCTGAGTGTTTTTGCACCATCACCTCGGTGCTGTGGAGGGACATGGGGACACTGGGATGGTATATTTATTTACTGAAGCACTTGTTTTGCTCATCTCTGCAGCCATCAATGGGATGAGCAGCAGCCTTGGGGCAGTTTGTGTCTGTGRTTGCTTGGTGAAGAGCATTGTTGTGTTTTAGAGAGGAAAAAGGAGWGGCAACAGGCTGCTGTGTCCTGCCTGCCAATCTTTTGGGGGAGAAAGTGCCATGGTCCCCATTTCTCAACTGCTGTGGGCTGGGAGGTGGAGCTCACAAAGGCYCTGCTCTGGCTTGTGAGCTCCTGCCCAAAATCTCCTGCCCTCAAAAGATTGGACCCCCTAAAAGGGTTATGGGGGCAACCCCGTTCAGAGACTCCAGCAGAGCCCTGTCAGCCCTTGCTGCAGCCTTCCCTCCTCTTGGCTCTTTGCCCAGTCATCCCAAACCCCAGCATAACAACTGAATATAAACGGTTGCCATGGGAACAGGAATCGGCTGCTTATCCCAATTTTTGTGGCAAACTCCAGGAGGGTTCTTGGCTGTTTTTTTTAATAGCAGACAGGAGGTGGCCCAGGTTGTAAAAGGTGGCTGAGTCAGGGCACTTTGAACTGGCCCGCAGGATGTTCAGTTCCAAACATCCTGTCTGAGGGACACCTCCCCGTGGTGGCTGCTCCCTTTATCTGCCCTTTGTGAGTAACAACTCCTTGCTGACACATCTGGAGAGGGAGAAGGACAGACAGGAGTCACAGGTAAACTCTTCCATCCATCCACTGGTGAGCAGCTATGCCATGGGATGGACATGGCTGCTGGAACTTGGGRAGAAGGGATGTGGGGAGAACATCTCTGAGAATCAAAGGTTCAATGTGATGACAGCTGTGGGTAAGGCTGGTGGAAGTAATGCTGATGGTGCCAGAAATCTCTGGCTTTTAGCCATTTTTAGGGGKGTTATTGTGTTTTGGAGCTACATCATAGCAGAGGAAGAGAGTTGCTCAGCCTGGAGAGCAGAAGGCTCTGAGGAGCTCTYAGAGCCCATTCCAGTGCCTAGAGGGGCTCCAAGAAAGCTGGAGAGGGACTCCTGGAGTGACAGGATACAGGGAATGGCTTCCCACTGCCAGAGGGAAGAGTGAGATGGGATATCAGGAGGAAATTGTTCCCTGTGAGGGTGGGGAGGCCCTGGCACAGGGTGCCCAGAGGAGTTGTGGCTGCCCCTGGATCCCTGGAATGTCCAAGGATGGAGGAGGGTTCACAAAGAGAAGACTCTCCAAATGTCTCTGGAGAGCTTGCCCTCTGCTCATGGGTGGCTGTGCTGGAATGCTGAAAGTTCACCCATGGGTGTGTGTAGGGAAGGTTGGTGTCTCCAGATGGACAGCAGGGATCCCCCCCATGGGGCAAGTGGGGTCCAAATCATGGCTGGTGATGGATCTGGAGCTGCAATCGCTCCAGGGGAGAGGCTGGAGGCTGGGCAGGAATGCTGTCCTTGCCAGGCTGAGCCTGAGGAGGCTGCAGGCAGTCAGGCAAGGCTGGGTGAGGACAGCAGGCAGCTCCCGTATGGCGACTGAGCACGAGCATTGCAGCCTGGAAGCCGTGGAGGGAGAAGGGCAGCTCAGGTAATAACTTCTGACTGCARCCATATCTCAAGTGCCCTGACAGACAAAGCAGCTCCCTGGAGGAATAAATAACCTGGTGTCTCTGCTTTTTCCCAGCTGCCACTTGCTTGGAGCTAAATGAGCTTTCCTGTGAGCGTGGGCTCCAGAGCTGGAGCGGGGGAAGCCGTGGGTGAGGGGTTTCAGCGTTGGGCTTGTTGCACTGCCCAAGGGCTCTGTGAATGTGGGGGGTGTTTTTCTGTGCCTCAAATACATGAGCTGTGCAAGAGGACTGTTGCTCGGAAACGTCTGGTTTTGCTGCAAAATAGTGGCTGTTTTATAAAAG